AATTTACATATACATCTATTAGGTACCTAGTGATACTCAATCCCACTCCCATGCTGCTTGGTCCTTATCCTCGTCTCCTCTCCTCTTCTCCCAGCAACCCCTTTTCGACTCTCAGAGTAAGAGCGTAACCCCATGTTTCAATGAAGCTGATTGCCAATCGCGCTGAGATCTGTCACTTGTGATGAACCGGGATATCCGATAGACCTGGATTGGTTATTTGTTCCTCTAGGTACGCTTGTTCTACCTGGTGAGAAATGATCCATTAGCACTACCGTCTTCGAGTTTACTAAGTTTACCTATGTGTACCTACTCGCTAGTGCTAACGGCGACGCGAGTATTGTCTACCCCCCAGAATTGGGTTCGTAGGGGCCGAAACCCCAGAAGGCTTGTGCCGACAGGGCTGTTGAACTTGTTGAGCAGCTTCAGTGGTAGCTTCTTGACACGCCCTGCGGAAATAGTCACACTCCGTAGACAGGCTCTCGATTGCACTGAGCCCATCTTACAACCCGACTTCGGTGATTCCAACCATACTTCGCGTCTCCCAGAACTTCACCAGCCGCAGCCCGGCCTTTTCGAACAGCTCCTTGAACTCAGCTGGCGTCCTCTCGATGCCGTTCATGGTCGCCATCAGCCCGAGGTCTCGGTTGTGGCAGTAGCGCGTATGGTACCCGTAATTCGAGGGAAGCGGGCTCGGCGCCGCGCGGATCTCGGGGCAGCCAAACGTTGTGTTCATGACGGGATCGCAGATCAAGATCCGCGACCTAGGGCCCATCGATTCCTTTATGGATTTGAGGATGGTGATGCAGTAGTCGTCCGACCAGTCGTGGCTGTATCGATGTCAGTTTTTTCATTCCGCATCGTCTTATGTGTTGTGCAAACTAGGGGCGACGTGAGTAGGTAGGTATCTTACAGGATGGCGCGGAGCCAGTATACATCGGCACCCTTGACAGGATTCGGCCGAAAGAAATCGTGTGGCATTAGCCGGACTCGCCCGCTGGGAATGGCATCGGGAAATTCCCTTGGGAAGATCTCTCTCTCCGCCAGCTCTATGTTCTCAGGCCGGTCTTGAACCACGAACCTAAGTTTGGGCCATACAGGGAGAAGCTGTAAAACGAAGCCGCCTATGCAAGGAAAGAGTTAGCAATCAGCTTGACAGACCGTCAGTCAGGACGGGAAAAGGGGCTAAACAAACCGATGCCGCCACCGACGTCTACCACAATCCCGTCCCCTAGCTCACCCCAGGGAAAGTCTAGATGTAATGTCAGCGAGTCTGAACCATCTAGGGAGGGAGATGGATGGACTTACCAAAGGCGTGAGCAGCACCCCATGTCTTCCCGCCACCTACCATAGCGGCGGCAAGATTATGCAGCTCGGGTCTACCGACTAACCCCTTATGATCGAACATGACGTTGTACTTCGACAGGTCGGGGACGCCTGGGTATCCTGGACCGTCAGAGACAACCAGATCCGAGGGCAGCCTTTCAGTCATCCAGTCCCACAAGGACTTGTTCGTCCCCGCGGCAGCCTGGAACGGCGTCTCGTTCACCTTGTAGGATGCGCCTTTAGGACCGACGATGTACCTTGGGAAATGTTCGGATGCGGCGTAGACGTGTAGTCCGCTATACAAGGCCTAATTAGCGGCTGAATGCTATTGCATCGGCGTGATAGTGGGTGTGAACGACTTACAACATCTGCACGTATGCCCGCAGTCCTGGATTCGAAACCAGTGCCGAAGAGATGCGGTTATTGCGAAACTTATTCTCGGCGATCTCTTCAAACACGTGGATGGAGCAAAGCGTCCTTAAGATGCGAGCTGTTCGTAGTGGTTAGTCGATTGAAGGCAACATGGATGGGAGGCGAGAGATCCGGAACTTACCCAGCTTCTTCGACTCGATGTGAGTCTTTTCAGCTAGGACATCTATAGCTAAGCCTTCGTCGCCCGCCTCGGCAAGTAGGTCGGGGATGTCTCGCTCAGCCGCGATGAATAGCGCCCGCGATTCCATGAACTGTGTCAGGATCTGCTGGACGCGCTGATATGGCTCCGAAACCATCTCTACTAGTGAGCCTGAGATAGCTTCTATGGTCTTCTCGGCCTCCCAGAGTCTGTGACTTGGGAGGATTCGAGCTGTGGGTGAGCCCTCGCCCGTCAAAGGCCCAGAGAAGTCTTCCTTGGCCCATTCATCCTGGACCGTCAGGGCTGCCTCGCGGAGCCGGTCTGATAGTTGTAGAAGCTTGGCTGCTTCTTCAGGGCTGCGGGTAAAACGCTCCATATTGGGATGCTAGATAAGAAGTATTGGTTGTAGAAGAATTCTAGCTGTTGGACGCTTAGCTCTTGAATAAGTTGTTATATTGGCCTGTGTTAGATGTTTGGGACAGGAGAGGGTTGAATATTAAAGATCTAGGAAACGAGAGTATGGATAACGAATGTTGGGCTACTAAAGACTTGGAGGACGATGGCGATTTACTACATAATATAAGAAATGGAACAGAACAAGTTGCTGCCCATCCAACTCTCATTGGGGGTATCTACCTGGGTAGTTACCCTCGGAGCTGGGGTTTTGGACACATCTCTAGAGAATTCCTAACACGGAACACACCCATCCCCGACGGGTGTTCCCTTAACCTCAGCAGACTTCAGTTTCTTGTTGCTGATTATCACCGTATTACCTTTAGAAAGATTGAACTTTGAGATTATCAGGTAGGTATTGTAAGACCTCTCTGCGGACATTTCTCACTAATTCGCAATTCTCGCACGGAAGCCCGATGGCGTTGAAGCCGATTTAGCTTTGATGACCTACTGCAAATTCTTGACAGTGCGGCCTGCTACTGTCATTTCGCAACCCGGCGGCAGCAATTAGATTTATGTTAGTTTTGCATCCCCCGACGGTTGAATGGATATGTCTCTAGAATAAGATCTTCTAAGTAGGTTCTGACAGCGGTCCTACCCGCCCATACTTTTGGTGTTACGTCGTCCTCGCGCCTCACTCCTCGCGCCTCGCGTTACTTCGGCTCCTTCGGTGCACTATTGAGCGGTGAAATCCAAAGTCGATGCCAAGGAGCTCGTTTATATCGAGACTCGGGATCAAGGTTTCGTCTTGCCTGCTCACGTTCCCGAAAAGAGCGTCAGTCGTGTTGCTGGCTAGCCCTCAGCGCGAAGTTATTGGCTAGGTACTTACTCGATCTGTTTTATTTCGTTAAGTGATACAATTCATGATGGATTTGTTGGGATTATAGCTTAGCTATTCTTGATAAACATCTCATTCTCCGGGTCTGACATGCGTCTCAAAAACGACACTTGGTGTTGTGGCGCGTCTTTGATAACCACACTACACTCCAATATGTAGGTGTGCAAGCACCATGCTATTAGAAAGCGCTGGGGGGATCCTTCTGTGTACTTGGTTGAGAAATAATGCTCGGCCCGCCGGTTGTACGGTATTGAAATTAACTGCCATGAGATACCGCGTGGGTTCCTATGCTCTGCAGATACTGTTTGCGCTTGGACCGGATGAGGACCGATTCAGGGGCCTGGCGATGCCGTTCCGCGACGGGGCCCAACTTCACAGCATGGTGCAATACGTGCCGCCTAAGGGCAGTGGCGTGTTACTCACGGAGGACCCAGGCAAAGACATGGCTAGGGTATGTCCTGACTTGATTAATAGGGATAATATCACGCTCGCATGGTCACCGAGGCGCAAGGGTGATAGGTTTTATGGTTTTTGGACCGAATAAGACCAATTGGATCAAACGATCTCTTGACGATTTGTTCGGCCTCGGGGATAAAATCGTAAAAGAGTATCCGGTACAAGTATGAAATCGATAGTTCAGTCTTAGGTAGACATCTACCATGGGCATTAAGCTGATCATGATCGAGATGGCGTTCCAGGGGCTGTTTAGGGGGAATTCATCGCTAAAATAGGTCAGACGCGCCAACGTAGGGCCAATCATTCGGGACTTTAGCACCCTGTAAACACAACAGGTTGGACTTTGAAGCCGCCTATAAATTTAACCTAGGTTAGCGTATTGCAGCGTGCTAACCCCAAGAATCCAGCATCCTAGTATTATTATTATAGAGCCGCTGTTCTCACTACGTCAGGCAATAGTAGATTTTTGATTTCTTCACGGTAATGTTCGAGTGAGTCAAAAGGCGAGTATTACAGACAAGAAGACCAAGGCTCCGAAGAGGAATTGCGAATGCCGGGCAGAGCGCTGCGGTCACGACTACAGCAGGCACTCGCCTTGGGTAAAGGTGAGCAGAATGCTCTAGGATGAGGAGTATTACTTACTGCTGCTTATCTGGGAGATGCATATGCGTCGATTCAGTCTGTATTATGCAGGACAACTTGAAAAAAACTTGGAATAGGTACCTAGGCTGTGAAGATGGCAGAGAAAAGAAAAAAAAAAAGAAAGAAAAAAAAAAAGCGAGAAATGGATCACTAGGACGACGGCCTGATCGAGCTGTCCGGCGTGGCGAGCACTGTAGGCCGCGGAGGATGGAGATGTATGTGACAACAATAAAGTTCCTGGGCGCCTCTGGGAGCAATACGGTGAGGGAATGTGTTGAACGGCCGAGGGTCTCTCTACTTGGCCTTGGGCCTCGACGGGGACCTCAGAGATTAACAAGGAACGGGAGAGATGCTGCGCGCGATGAGCGTGCTGTGGCCCAAGGTATGACAGAGGACAGAGGACAGAGGTCAGTGAACGCTACAAACAGAGTGTAGAAGCGCCGAACCAGGGCTTCGCTTGCGTATACACGTTTCCGGGATTCAAACGGCTCCCTTGGACGACGCCTGGGTGTCTTGCTTCCACGAGAGTCGGGATATCGAGGTTAAGAAGGCATCTGATGGCAGGTGCTCAACATGCGGCCAGCTAACACAAGCGCGCATCGACGGGCCAGCCGGGCCCATCGCCAGTGGGTGACTTTAGCCCCGCTCGGACTTCGATTTTCATAAAGAGACTTAGCGCACATTGAGACAACAATAGCATACCAGAAGATTGACGACGGCCCTTTGGCCCAATGGTAAGGCGTCTGACTACGATCGAGATACTCGACAAGTTATCAGGAGATTCTGGGTTCGAGCCCCAGGAGGGTCAAGTTCTTCGTTTTGCCTCGACGTCGATTATATGCACAGATGTTATTTTATCACATTCTTTTTTTTTTTTAATCCTTTTTTCAATCTAGGTACTATGTAGTAACCATCCTACCATGGCCATTCAGGGGTCTGAGTTCCAGGCTTTAGACATAAAAGCTGGTCGCTTACAAGTTGCAATTAAGCAGACCATATTTTCGACACTTCAAGACCCTCTGCAAACACGCCAACCTTACTATCAATCGCATATCCCTCAGCTTCCAGTTTTCTACATTCCTCGTAAAGGTTGTCCAACGGCACCCAGAAGCACTCAATGAACTCTCCGTCTTCCAGCTGCGGCTTCGGATTCTGATTCTCTGCCTTGCTAGGGTCAACCTTCAGATGAATGAGAAAGGAACTCGAGCTAGTTGAAGATTAGCTAGACGCCCCAATGCCGAATAAACCGGCTTGTCGGGTTTACCTCGACGATGCAGGAGCTGAAGCTGCTGTTAGTATGTGCAGTGTATGTGGTACGCTACAAGGCGCGATTTCAAGCAAACTCACAACTGAAGAGAATCGGTCGCTTGCCTCCACGGTCGGCCACGACCTCACCAACGTAGCCGGTCTCCTCTCTCAACTCGCGCAGCGCTGCATGCTCTGGGGTCTCGCCTTCATCGACCAGGCCGGCGGGGAACTCAATCACGAGCTTTCCCGTGGGCGCGCGAAACTGTTTCTCCAGGAGAAGCTTAGGGCCGCCCGGACTCTCGAGGAGAGCGATCATCTGCACGGCATCCACGGCGCTGGCATTGGGCCGCCCGGGGCGCCGCATCGCCTCCCAGGTGCGCACTTGGCCGTTCTCATCTTCGTAGGTGATTCTATCATATGCCGATGGCGTGGTCAGACATGCGAAGTGCTACTGGGAGGTAATCGATCCGCGACAACGGAGCAGTCACTAACTTTACGAGATTAATCCATTTCGCATCTCTGTTTTCCTGGAAGCTCTCAGCACGTCTCTTCTACGAGGGTGGCCTAAGAAACTTACAAGAAGCTCAGTTGATACGATTTTCGCTGCTCGTGCCGGTGCTGCCATTGTGAGAAGCTGTTTGCCTTTGGCAATTGCTGGAGAGAAGGGTTGACTTTAGGAGGTAGGTATTCGAAAAGGCCGCTGGTGCCACAGTCAATTTGCTAACCGAACAGCGCTGCACACCGCCGTACCAGGCAGTTTTACAGGGCATTTTTAACGCCGACCAAATAACCAATTCAGGCGAAGCATTATTTCTAGAGGGTCGAAGTCATAAGCCAATGGTCGACTGAGTTCAGTCAAGAAGGTAGGCGCCTTCCAGGGATTTAAAGAATCTTGCCATTCCGTAGAATCGAGTCGATATCTACCCCTAACTTACATCCTAATCTACCTAACCTAGGGACCTAAGGTACCTACGTCATCAACAGCAGTGAGTAAAGTAAGCAAGCCGTCATAAACCTGTCAAGACTCTTGCACGAAAGTATGTAGTTTTTTAAAAACAGACAAGGCATTGATCAATCTACCTCTTTCTCTTCATCATTCCACTACTACTATCCAAGTACAAGTATACCATCTCTGAAAATGTTCCTGCAAACCCTTCACCTCGCTCAGGCTGCCCTGGCAGTCTACGGCGCCAAGCAATCGTACACCGCCATCACCAACCTGCGCAAGTACGAAGAGACGTCCAAGAAGCTCGCCAAATATTCCAACACCGCCGAGCACCGCCGAGACAAGACGTACACCACCCAGACGGCCGGTGCCGCCGCTCTCCTACTTTCCTTCTTTGTGTCTCTGACCCTCGCCCGCCGGGGCAGTATCTACGGTTTCCCGACACGCTACCTATACCAGGCTGTCACAGTCGTCGCTATCTACCTCGCAAGGCGCTATATGTACGAATTCTGGGCTGACAAGACGCCCGGGCTAAAGGGGGCTGTGCCGAAGATGGGCGAGTATGACGAGGCGCAGAGGAAGACGCATGAGCTGCTCAAGGTGTTGGACCTGCTAATGTTTACCTGGGCTGCTACGTTCTTTGTGGCTTTGGTGTCTGGATACTGAAATGACAAATATCTCTCGTTCAACATTTCGATTATGCAAATTGCTCTTGATAACATCCTTTTTCCCATTGAATAGGTAACTTACGTTACATAACTGATCCGTGGAGAGGCCCGTTACGTTGGCGAAACTGCAGGAATCTGGGCCTCATTTGAGATCAACGTTGAGTAGCTAGATCTGCTTGTATAAGGTAGATGAAGACTGTCTCACTCTTCAATTCAAATTTCCATGAAGGCATATACGATGAAGTCAACCATTAAATTTAGCTACCTTATCGTGGGTGCTTAGGTACATGACTTTTTGCCTTTATCATACTCTCTGATCATGCAAAGATGGATCCCCTTCGCATCTTGTCCATTGCTGCTTCGGCCGTCCGATTCTTGGATTTTGAGACCCGGGTCATCATGAACACTCGAGAGACGTACCAATCTTTGCTCGGCCAAATTCAGACCAGCGTCGACCTGTCGATGATAGCGAATGACATCAAGAGGCTCACAAGTGATATAGAGTTCATACTAGCTAAGGCCAAATATAGCGACACGTCAGGACAGCAGAATAGTAGCCCTCGCCAGTTGGTGGATGCGACAAAGGAAATAGGTAACGACTGGTAACCAGGCTTCAGGCTCATGGAAAGACAAAATTGAGCCTCGCAGCAAACAGTCTCCTTACTGCACTTGAGAGTATTGGTGCAGAGAACAAAATTCGGGACCTAGGGGGGCACCTTGGTTTAATCCAGAGTCAAATCGCGATGGAAATGTTGGTGCTTACACGGTATGTCCTTGATGATGTATAAGGTATATATATACATACTTAGCATGTTTACTGCCTAGGTAACTATTCACTATGTAGGTATGCTAGGGTTCAAGCTGAACAGAATCATGTCACCATAATTGATCTTGCCAAACAACAAGCAAGGCATCTACCAATTCTCGATGGAGTCGATAGTCTATCAGTTCAGGACAGGACATGTACTGTTTTCCCCAACATCATGACAGGTACAATTACTTGGCTATATAACTTCCCTCCATCGTCTAACTTGATATCATTCGCCCTCAACTACTAGCACAGAGGCGATATCTTACCAGTTTTCAACTCCTCCGCCACCAACGACGACACTTCGTCCCAGCGCTCAAGCGTATCCGCCTCGGCATCGAAGGCGTACAGCCATCTATTTCGCATCTTGATAGACTCGGGGTCGATCTCAACGCCTTCTGCCACATGTTTGAGCGCATTATGCCAGCGGTCCCTCAAGTCCTCACCGTTTGTTTGGCTGGCTCTGGTCCTCGGGAACCTCAGCTTTTCGTAGCATCTCGTCTAAGATATATGATTAGGTAGTATACTCTTGATTTTAAGGGGCGGGCATCTTACGGCTAGGGGAATGTTATCCTTTCCGGCTAACTTCAGGCAGACGGCGAGTACACCAGCACTCTCCGTCGCTTGACTGGCACCTTGTGCGCTCGTCGGTAGATGCGGATGACAGCTATCTCCTAGCAAGGCGATCTTGTGGCTCTTGGATATCCAAGTCGGAAGCGGATCTCTGTAGCAGATTTTCCAATCTAAGCAGGATTCGGTCGTCTCAACGGCCGCGTATATCCGAGGATCTAGATTTTGGAGGCTCTTCTTGACCTCATCCATGTTCCCCTCCTGATACCAAGACTCCTTGATTACCATATCCGCCTCGTGCGACAGTTTGCGCGTCACGATCCAATTGAACTCGTCGCCATTCCGGAGCGTGTTTTGGACTAAATGTGTGTCTTCACCGATCCTACATCATTCTCGTCGTTAGCTCTTGGCTTCGGGGATACATTCAGGACGGATTTTGACATACCAGATATTGACGCAGTCATGATCGACAAACTCGCGGCACAGAGGAATCTCCTTTAGATGCTTTCCCGGAAAATACGCGCGATAGCATGAATAGCCGCTGCTCTTCGGCGCGTCTTCGAAGCCCAGAACAAGTTCTCTGGCACGAGACTTGATACCATCGGCACCAACGATAATATCCGCCGTCTCCTCCGTCCCGTCCGCGAAGACGACGCTTGGTTTGTGTTCGTCGTAGGCCACGACCTCGCGGCCCATGCGGATCTCCACGCCGGCGTCCTTGACGGCCTGGATGAACGCCTCGTGGTAGTCGCCGCGGTGGCCGATGTAGCCCGCCATGTCCATGAGCGGCTGCTGCGCCAGGACTTTGCCGTCGTGCCAGCGCCGGATCTGCATGTCCGGGGCCTGGTTGCCGATGCCGGTCAGGCGGCGGTACAGCGACGCACCGCCCCAGCGCTCGAGCAGCTTCAGCGCGTTCTCGCCGAGGCCCAGGGAGTCGCCCAATCGCCGGAAGGCTTTCAACCTCTCGTAGACGACTACGTCGTGGCCGTGGTGCTTGAGCGCGAGCGCGCAGGCGCATCCGCCGAGACCGGCGCCGATGACGATAGCTGTTGCAATTTTAGGGATGTTATTACCAACGATGGATCGTGGAACCATGTAGGGGATGATGTTTTCTCACCCTTGATAGGCTCCTTGCTTTCGCCGTTAGCCGTCATTGCGAGTAAGACTCGTATTTCCAGGGTTTAAACTCCGTTGAGCATGACAACGCATGTGCACGAAAGGAGACACAGATGAAATCGTTTGATTCACATGTTCGCGATGCGAGATTGGATAATATTAATAGAGGCGGCGGCGCGGCCGTCCCGCCGTAGGATTGCGGGATGCATCTGCCGAGGGTCCCCCAACTCCAACCCCGCCTATACTATTGCAATATCCCCTGTTTACGATAACTGCCATTGGGGAAACCGCTGAGGGGGTGATCTACTAGTGAGAGTTGGAGAAACCCCGATTGAGAGGATGGGAGTCGTGAACGGTACCTGAGATACACAGAGACTTGACCGAGGATAAAAGAAGCTTCAACGGCAAGAGAATTACAAGTTCACGTAACATACGTGAGGTACCCAACAGAC